TCATTTGTTAAATGTTTTTAAGAAAATGGGATTTTTCATTAGTTTAATTGATCATATCAAATCAATGAATTATTATTTTGAGTAAAAGGAGTTAAAATTTTTTAAATAAGATTTTAAATTTAGGTTTTATAAATGAAAAATAAGTATTAAAAGAATTTTTTTCTTTAAAAAATTCAATTAACATAGTTTGATTTTAAATTAATTAAAATTAAAATCTAATATAATTTTTAAATACCAAATTTTAATAAAAAAAAAGGGCCATGTCGGCAAGCCATTCACTGAGGGGATGAGTATGGTGCAAAATTCTGACATTGAGGTAAAGTGCAAAATTGAGTTAAAGGACTCAGTTCGTACAAAAAATTAAAGTTGAGGGAACCGAAGGAGGTTTTACCAATCCAAATTGAGCCACGCACACCTCCACGCTCCACCTTCCCCATGCTATCAATCAAAGATCAATACCCACTAGGCTTTCTTTCCCAGACACACAATATCAATCCCAGAATCTAAACCTGAATCCATTTCTTTTTCCCATCTATCTATTTGTATCTCTTTTGAAGTTTTTAATTTTATTTGGTACCCAGTTCTGCCCTTGTTGTAGTTCTTGTTTGTTGCAGTGAAACTTTAGAAATTGGTTTTTATTTTCTTTGAATCGATGGATCGATCAATAAATCGAAACCCAATGGTTTCTCTCTCTGTCCCCTGTCTTCTCTTCTATGTCACTGCTTTTTCTTTGATAGGGTGCGTTTGGTCGTCTTCCTCCATGTCCCCTCGTGAATCCCATATGTTCCTCAGTAATATTCAATATCAGTGCTCTCCTTTCATGGCGCCGTGTCCTCCTCTTGAGGTACGTTTTTAAGCCATCTTTTTCTTCTGTTCTTCATTCTATTATAGTATAATTTGTTTGATTTTTTTTTTTTTAAATTATTGTTGACTAAGGGTTGTTGTGATTCATTTGTTATTATGAATTGGGTGATCTATTGATTTTAGGAATTTATTTGATCAATTTGGTTGATTATGATTCCTGGGTATTTCTTATTTTATTTATATTTTTGCTAGACTAATATCATTGGTAGGAAAAATACTTCAGAGTTTAATGTGCTAAATTGTGAGCACAAACATTAGCCTCAGTCCTAAGATGAGAAAAAGCAAAACTTTCAACCCCAGCAAGTAAACCATGGATTTCAGCTAGTGTAGCTTCAAACATGTGGGTTGAATCCTTTCCTTTCTGCATTTCAGCTATACCCTGGCTAGATTGTTGCAGCTGCTGTGTATTTAATTTTTCTGGGTAGTTGGACTCGTTTACTTATGTAGGTAGTCCATCTATCATCAGAGCTATTCTTCATTCTTTTTCACAATGGATGACTTGCTGCATTTTGGTCGTTGGAACTAGTATAAATTACCACAATTACGCATCAAGTTATCTCTATGCTCTAGGATAAGGAAGGTACTATTTCAATATGCCAATGGGTACAAGACTTGCTAGAATGCATTTAGCCAGAGGAGTTCCAGCCTTTAATGCAAGGCCTTGCGATGGTGCCATTTGAGTGAAATTGCAACAGCATAGTTAGTTTAATTTTAGCACAGCTGAAACGCTGAAAATTTTCCAGCTACTAGTGTCTTGTCTAAGTTGTCTTGTATAAATTTGGACTCATAATCTACCTTGTGTCAAGCTGGCTCATAGTAGGTGCTCCTTTTTTTTTTTATTATTATATTGATCTGTAATAGGTACTTTTTTGTGCCATGGCTAGTAAATTCACCCCTCAAAGGTTAATACTTAGAACTTAGAAGTCTTGATTCCTGGTGGCTTTCTGGCAACTTAACTACTTTTCAGTGCACATATGCCAGTTTATCTTATTCTGATTTTTTAAAAAGAATTTTAATGTAGAATTTCATTAAGTGACATCATAAACTTTTCTGGGGAACCATCTTGACTGTAAACCTTTATTTCAAATTTGAGTAATGGGGGCTAATCTGTCTTCCTGCAGTGTCCGATCTTTCACTATAACAGCATTCTGTTTAGGTTTCAAGTGTACACTTCCTTCCCAAGAGATTTGAGCTTAATTGAGTTTACCATCTGTTTCATGGAATTGATAGTTTTCATGATTTTCTGGTACTCCATAGCTGAATTTTTTTTCTGAGATTTATGGATGTTTCTTTTCGTTGGCAGGTGAATGGAAATTTCCTTGATAGAGCATTGACTTCCAAACAGATGAAGACATATTTTTCTTTACTCTTTTATGCTTCCTGGTGCCCATTTTCACATGTTTTGCGTCCTAAATTTGACATCCTTAGTTCAATGTTTCCTCAAATAGAACATTTTGTTGTTGAACAATCAAATGTCCCTCCAAGGTTTGTAGTTACTTGTCTGACATGCTTCTAAAATTCTTTTATCATCTCTTGATGGTTTGAATTGCATTTCTTGCTTTAATCCTGAGTTGGAGGAAAATTAATATAGGAATCAACTCAACAAGGATATATTTTATTATATTCCATACGTATGTTGTGACTTAGGTGCTGTTTGGGATTGTTTTCTCAATACTTTTTTTCTGCATTCCAACACTCCTTTTGAGGCTTTTTTTTTTTTTTTTTTTTTTTTTTTTTTTTTGCATTTGTAAATTTTTAGGGATTGCTTTTTCAAAAAGCATTACATAGCCACAATAATTTTCTATTTATTAAAAATTTTAATACAGATCCGAAAACACTCATTAATAGTTTCATTGCCTTCTAAGCTAATAATTTTTTTTTGCTCTTGGAATTACTTTTACCATTCTTTTTCAGATAGATATAGCCACAACACTACAAAAGTACAAAGCATTCCCAAACAGACCCGTAATGTTATCACCTCCAGCATGCAATATATTTGTTTTGTTGGCTTGGTATCTTTGTATTAAAGTTTAACTTTATATGACTGGTCTTGGTGAATAGAGACCAGTATTCACTTTGTTTCTGAAGAAATATATTCTTTTTAAATTTCTTTTGATTTGCTTTAACCTTCCTTGGTTGGTTTTTTCCCCTTTTTTTTTCTCTAAAAGATCATAATAATTAGAAAAAATAGAAAAAATGTTCCTAGGCATTGCCAGGTGCCTTGCTCACCACTTAAAGGGCCTAGCGCCTAGGCATGTTTTTTACAACACTATTTGTCAAAGTACAGCATATTTGCCTCTGCTTTTTCTTTGACAGTGACATTGCATCACGGTAAATTATAAATCATTGGGGTATTATGTTTACTAATTGTGAGGACAATTTTCTTAAGCAATGATGCCTACTAAGTTTCATGTTCTATTTTGTATTGCAGTATATTTTCAAGGTATGGAATTCATAGCTTGCCATCAATTTTAGTTGTAAACCAGACGTCAAGGGTGCGATACCATGGCCCAAAGGATCTCGTCTCCATTGTGCAATTTTATCAGAAAGCCACAGGTAAGTTGTTTTTATGCTTATGCGATGATATGTTGTGGTGCCTTGATTTACTGCTTTTACCTTCTGCTAGTCAAAAAGTGCTTGCAAAGCCCTTAAAAATTCTTTTTTGTTACTCAAAACTCCAATGTCATATTTAATTCCTGGTTTATTACCACTAAGCTCAATATTTAATGTATAGTAAAATTATATCTCTCGACCTAAGGTACTGTGTTTTAGGACTTGAACCGGTTCAATATGTTGCTGAAAAGGAACCCAACAGATTGGTGGATAGTCGCAATCACATCAAGCAGTCATGGAACAAGTCAAGTGTAAATGAGCTAGTAAAACAGGAGCCCTACTTAGCCTTTTCTGTGGTGTTTCTTTGTTTAAGAGTGCTTCTATCCATAATCCCTAAAGTACAATCTCGTCTCAAAGCATTTTGGTTATCATTTGTTCTCCATCTGAACTTGGAAATATTTGGTGAGACAAGTCAGTTGTTTGATCGTGTGCTTCACATGATTGATGTGAGGAGGATTTGGACCAAGCTTCGCCTTTGCAAGACCAGGAATTTTCATCGAGGTGCGAAAAATGCCCATGTTTGGGCTTCTTTGGCTTCTGTCTCCTTGGGTGAATCTTCTTCGGGTAGATCATCAAGCTCATCTTAGGATTCATGAGATCAAACCAAAATGGAAGTAGAGAAGAGCTTATTGACCAGGAAGTGTTATGCGAAGCGCTGCCATGCTTTCGCAGAGGAAGTCCTCTCATTTACTCTCTTTGAATTCTACTGTACTGGTGATAGCCTGCAGCTAATGTCCTAGTTGGGCTTTTTTTGGAGGAAACCAAGGAGCACGTAAATTTGAGAAGAGCTCTGTTCTTCTTGTGTATATTACATCATCTTCACACATGGTATGTAAGCTTATCCAACACACCCCGCTCTATGCTTGTCTCCTAGCTTTTGTCTCCTTGTAGGGTTGTTGGTCTCAATGATCTGGAAGAGACTAGAGAGTTACTCGTTTTTAGAATGCAGCTTTGCTAGGGAGACTCATGGTCTAGGGCCTTCTTGGTTTTCCATTTTTTTGGTAAAATAGAGGATAATATTAATGAGTCTATTGTTTTATAATCCAGTCTGGGCCAATGTTTTGAAAACCGGATGGACCGATTGGTCGGACCAGTACCCAATGATATAAATGGTTTGGTTGTATTTTTTAAAGCATTTGAAACCGATAAGAATCACTCAAATCGCTTAAATTGGTAAATCATTCGACCAGATGGTTCAATGCTTGGGTATAAAATCTTCAAAAATTTGTCTCCGTTGGACTTGAACTCACAACCCCAAAGCTTTAATTCCGATTCTTTACCACTAGGACGATGCAATCAAGGAGTGCTTGAAATTTTATTTATCTAATAGAACTCTCAAGCTTTTAACTAAAATATTGATCCATGGGATTCGAACACCCATTCTTCATGATATAAAACAAAAACTTTATCACTTGAGACACAACCTTTTATTTGTTATCTTTTTGCTTTACAATATATTTATTTTATCTTTAAAACCACAATTATATTAAAGTTTGTTCTCACGAAGACTTGAACTTATGATCTTTCAAATATCAAATCAACCACCTACTAACACCTTGTGAAATATTTTACAGAATAATATATTTATAATAGTTTGATCAACTTGATGGTTTTATCGGTTAAACTAATTAAATCGGTCAAATCATGAACCGGAGGTCAAAACGGTTTGACCTCCGTTTTAGGTTTAAAAACATTGGTGTGGGCTATAAAACAAGGATCTTTAGATCTAGCCTGTAAGACATTTTTTCTTATTAATATAGAAGACAGTACACTAGCAAGTCCTGGGGAATTCAATCCTCATAATATCCACAATACGAAAGACTTTCACAGAAGGTGGGAATACATTGGAAAAATGTAAAATCCTCCAAAAGTGAGTGCCCAAGTTTGGCCATATTGTCAACTGCCGTGTTGGATTCAGGAGCATGGGAGACCACTACATGGAGAATTTGCCGGAGCAGGTCTCTGCAATCGAAAACAAGACAGCTGAGAAGATGAGACTCAATTGAAGTTGTCCAAGTTGGGTTTCAGTATGAGAGTCAGTTTCAATCATTAAATGGGTTATGTTATGAGCAATAGCCAATTGGTGATCATCTCTAAGGGCCTGCTTGGTTAATAGGGCCGAAAATGGGTTGGGCTATTTCACGCAATTTGACGCGAATAAATTAGGCTTGATTTGACTTGACTTTTAACTAAAATTGAACTCTAAAAGTCGAGTCCGAGTTTGTGTTGCTATTTAAACTTGACTCGGTTGTATATATTAATAATTATATATTAAATATTAGAAAATTTAGATTTTTTATTTAAATATTTTAAAAAAAATCATTTATATCATATGTAATCTCTTTTTTTTTTTTTAGTTTGAACTGCAATATATATATTTTTTTATCTTAATTGCATAATGGAAGGCAATCATTTTTCATCCCTTCTCTCATTTTACCCGCATGTCATGTGACTTGAACTGAGGATCTTTTATTTTCAACAGAAGAAAATGACCACTAAACTACTTAGATCATCGACAATTGCATCACATTTTTAAAAGGAATTCTTAGATGTAAAAATAGTTTCTTTCTTTCTACATTTAAAAATTGATACAATTTAAATTATATAACATTTTTTTATTGAATATAGAAAAAAAATCATGAATGGCGAGCTAAACTCAAGTTTGTTTAGGATTATTAAGCTCAAATTCGAGTTCAAGTTTAATATATTTAAATTTAAAAAAAAAAAAAATCAGACTGGACTTGACTCAATGCCACAAATTCATTGCTGTGGCATTGACTCGAGTTCGACATGTACAGCCCTATTGGCTAGTGAGGTTCTCGGGAAATTGAAAATGGAATTTTGTTTAGTTGTGCTTTCTCAAGAAAGAACTTTCTTCCTGAAAACATGCTAGAAATTAGATTTTAAGGGTGTGTTTGGTTTCAAACTACTCTGTAAAGTATTTTCGAGGAAGTTGATATTTCAAATTGTAGTTGGTTATAGCCGAATATTTACTCCATTTAACTTTAGTTGGCATTTTTATTTCTTCAGTAAAATAAGATGTAATAATTTTTTAAAAATAAATTAAAATAAGATGTAATCATTAATTAATGAAATTTTATATTTATTTTTATTTAATTATTATTAAAATAAAAATAAATGAATTAAATGACACTTTAAAATAAAAAATAAACAATTAAATTTGA